TCACAGAAACTTTCCGGTCCCTCAACCTCAGCCTGGCCCAGGATGCCCATCACCCTGCCCCTGGGCCCCACTGAGCAAGGGCTGAGATGCCCAGGAGACAGGTGGCAATGGAGGACTGTAGTGTTCGTCTCCCATAGGATTCCCGTCAGCTGCACTTCAGCCCAGGGACACTGCCCCATACCCCCATTGATGCCTAGTTCCAGGGATCTTGCTGGGGTACACATTCAGCCCTTGGGTACCCAATATAATGTGGGTGACATGAGGGAGAGATCTCCTGGAACCGTCGTGGTCACACCAGTGTACTCACAGGGTGCAGGAAGGTGACTGGATCTGTTGGAAGAATGTGGAGAGAGTATTGGCTGTCTCTCAAAGAAAGCTGGTTACCGGTCAGGTGCTGTGGTTCATACCTGTAATTCCAGCACCTTGGGAAGCCAAGGCAGGAGGATTGCTTGGGTCCAGGAGTTCAAGGTCAGCTTGGGCAGCATAGAGAGATTCTGTCTCTACTTATATATAAAAATTTACATTAAAAAAATACTAGGAAGGCCAGGCACAGTGGCTCATGCCTGTAATCCCAGCACTTTGGGATACTGAGGAGGGCAGACCACAAGGTCAGGAGTTCGAGACCAGCCTGATCAATATAGTGAAACCCCATCTCTACTAAAAATACAAAAATTATCCAGGTGTGGTGACAGGCACCTGTAGTCCCATCTGCTTGGAAGGCTGAGGCAGGAGAATCACCTGAACCCAGGATGCAGAAGTTGCAGTGAGCCAAGATTGTGCCACTGCACTCCAGCCTGGGTAACAGAGCAAGACTCCATCTCAAAAAACAAAACAAAACAAAATAAAAACTAGGAAAATAGGTTCCTAGAGCCTGAGGCCAAAAGTACCTCTTTCTCAAACTCAAGAAAACAAAAGTATGTGGCTCTCATGTAATGGAAACGGTACAGCCAGGCGCAGTAGCTCATGCCTGTAATCCTAACACTTTGGGAGGCTGAGGCTGGCAGATCTCTTGAGGCCAAGAGTTCAAGACCAGCCTGGCCAACATGGTGAAACCCCATCTCTACTAAATATATAAAAATCAGCCAGGTGTGGTAGTGGGCATCTGTGGTCCTAGCTACTCAGGAGGCTGAGACAGGAGAGTTACTCAAACCTCGGAGGAGGAAGTTGCAGTGAGCTGAGATCACACCACCACAGTCCAGCCTGGGCGACGCAGCAGGGCCCTGTCTCAAGAAAGCGTACAGAAACTCACCTCACCAGAGTGTCTCTGCCTTCAGTGTCTCCGTTTGCCTCCTTCCTGAACACTCTTCAGTGGGAGGGCGGAGGGAAGGTGGGTCTCTGCCAAGGGGTGAGAATGGGGTAGAGGGTCAAGTTTCTGTTCCCCTAGGCCTTGGATTCTGAGGCCCACCCAGACATATGGGGGTGCTCGGGGTGGCAAAGCCCTGCCTGTCTTTTCCAGGGGACTGCTGGCTGCTGGCTGCCATCGGCTCCCTTACCACCTGCCCCAAACTGCTGTACCGCGTGGTGCCCCGGGGGCAGGGCTTCAAGAAAAACTATGCCGGCATCTTCCATTTTCAGGTGAAGGACAGTGTGAGAGCCGCGTGGCTTTGTGGGGCTTGTAGGGGGTGGGGTGGGAGAATCATATATGCTTTGAAGTTCACCTTCTTTCCTTTTGGAAAATAGCATTTATTCGGGTGGGTTTTTGGCTAATTATCAGAGAAATATCTGCCCACCAAAGAAAGCATATAAGCTAATTTTTTAAGTCCCAAAAGAAAAGAAGCCTTAACAATTTGTGGCTGTCTTTCTCCCTTCTCCTTCTCTTCCTCTCCATTGTGTGTGTGGGTATATGTGACTTTGGTAGTCTTTGTCACATAATTTTTGTAATCTGCCCCTTTAACTTAGCAACATATGGACAAATTCCCCAGGGAGGTCTTGGCAGAAGCAGGAGAGGAGGCAGGGAAGGGGAGGAGGGGCCGGGCTCAGGCTTCGGGTTACCTTTCCCGGACTATTCAGTGATTCTGGAAAGTGGAGCCTCTGACACTGGCGTGTCATCAGGCCTGGCCACTAGGAGGCGCTTGATGACAGGGTTCCCACGCAAGGGGTGTGCGTTGCTACCCACAGATTTGGCAGTTTGGGCAGTGGGTGAATGTGGTGGTGGATGACCGGCTACCCACAAAAAATGATAAGCTGGTGTTCGTGCACTCAAACGCACGCAATGAGTTCTGGAGCGCCCTGCTGGAGAAGGCGTATGCCAAGTGAGTGCTGGGAGCCAAAGAAGGGGGCTTGCCTTGCCTCTGTGGGGGCAGCTGGAATCAGGGGGAGGGTAGGGGGTGGCAGGACATCCCTCCTTCCCCTCACCTCCACCCTAGAGCTCAACAGTGCCCTCTCCGTGCCCACAGACTGAGTGGGTCCTATGAAGCGCTGTCAGGGGGCAATACCATGGAAGGCTTTGAGGACTTCACAGGAGGTGTGGCCCAGAGCTTCCAACTCCAGAGGCCCCCTCAGAACCTGCTCAGGCTCCTTAGGAAGGCTGTGGAGCGATCCTCCCTCATGGGCTGCTGCATTGAAGTAAGCAAAGCATGGTCCCACCTCAGGGCCTTTGCACCTGCTGCTGCTATCACCTAAAAGCCTCTTCCCCCAGTATCTGCGTGGCCAGCACTTCTCATTCATTTCAACTGCGCTTTCCCCAGATTAGCCTTCCCTGCCTCCCCACCTTGTTTACTTTCTACCTGGTTTTTACCTTCTCCCCAACATTTATTGTGACTTGAAATTCTCTTGCTTCTCTATGTTTTCACTCATAGCTCATCTTCTCCAGATAGTACTCACGTTCCATGAGGACAGTGACCTTATTTGTCTCATTCACTGCTGGACCCTGGAACTTAGGAAGGAGCCCAGCACGCAATAGGCACCCAACCAACATTTGTTGGAAGAAATACATGAACCCAGGGTGCTACATATGGCCCTGCATTCTTGCCACTTATCCCAGAGAAATGAAGACATGTCTCCAAAAATGTTTGTACACATGTTTATGGCAACTTTATTCATAATAGCCCGCAAACAGGAAACAACCTAGATGTCCTTCAATAAGTAAATGATTCAATAAACTGTGTTGATTACACACTGTGGAATACTACTCAGCAATAAAAAAGAACAAACTATTGATACTTGGAGAAACTAGGACAGATCTCAGAGGAATTATACTAAATGAAAAAAGCCAACCCCGGCCAGGTCCAGTGGCTCACGCCTGTAATCTTAAAGCAGGAAGATTGCTTGAGCCCAGGAGTTTGAGACAAGCCTAAGCAATATAGTGAGACCTCATCTCAAAAAAAAAAAAAAAAAAAAATTAATTAGCTGAGAAAAAGGGGAAAAAAAGACAACCCCCCAAAGGAGGTTACACAGTGCATGATTCTATTTAAATGACATTTTTTTTTTTTTTTTGAGACAGGCTCACTCTGTCGCCCAGGGTGGAGTGTAGTAGTGCCATCTTGTCTCACTGCAACCTCCGCCTCCCGGGTTCAAGTGATTCTCCTCCCTCAGCCTTCCGAGTAGCTGAGATTACGGGCACCCGCCACCATGTGCAGCTAAGTTTTGTATTTTAGTACAGACGGGGTTTTGCCATGTTGGCCAGGCTGGTCTCTAACTCCTGACCTCAGGTGATCCGCCTGCCTCGGCCTCCCAAAGTGCTGGAACTACAGGCGTGAGCCACTGTGCCTGGCCTTAAATGACATTCTTGAAATTACAAAGTAATATAAATTAAGAACAGATGAGTGGTTTCCAGGGTTTATGGAAGAGGACTCGTGAGAAGAGATGGGTTTGGTTATAAAAGGGCGACACAAGGGATACTTGTGGTGATGGAAATGTTCTATATCTTGACTGTGGTAGTGGCTACACGAAACTACATGTAATGGAATTGCATAGAACACACAGAAGTGAGCACTAGTAAAACTGGGGAAATTTGTATAAGGTTCACAGATTGCATCCTTATCAACATTCTGGGCAGGACGCCATGACTCACACCTGTAATCCCAGCACTTTGGGAGGCTGAAGCGGGCAGATTGCTTGAGCCCAGGAGTTTCAGACAAGCCTGGGCAACATGGCAAGACCCCATCTCTACTAAAAATACCAAAACTAGCGGGGCATGGTGGTGAGAGCCTGTAGTCCCAGCTACCCAGGAGGCCGAGGTGGGAAGCTCGCTTGAGCCTAGGAGGTCTAGGCTGCAGTCAACTGAGATCACACCACTGCACTCCAGCCTGGGTGACACAATGAGACCCTGTCTCAAAAATAATAATAAAGCTGGGTGCAGTAGCTCAGGCTTGTAATCCCAGCAGTTTGGGCGGCCGAGACAGGAGGATCGCCTGAGGTCAGGAGTTTGAGATCAGCCCTGCCAAGATGGTGAAACCCCATCTCTACTAAAAATACAAAAAAGTAGCCAGGCGTGGTGGCAGATGCCTGTAATCCCAACTACTTGGGAAGCTGAGGCAGGAGAATCATTTGAACCCGGGAGGCAGAGGTTGCAGTGAGCCGAGATTGCACCACTGCACTCCAGCCTGGGCAACAAAAACGGAGCTCCGTCTCAAATAATAATAATAATTGTAAAAATGTTCTTTTTTTGATATTTCACTGTAGTTTTGCCGGATGTTACCACTGGGGGAAACTGAGTATGCGATACTTGGGATTTCTCTGCATTATTTCTTAATACATGTGAATCTACAGTTATTTCAAAATAATGGTAATAATTTAAAAGCTTAGTTTTGGTTCTGGACACCAAGCTAGAGCCGGCAGCTGCTGCAGATGAAAGGCAGGAAAGGGCAGGCCGTGTGAGCAGACAGATGAGCCGACTAGGTAGCCAACCAATAACAACGCACTAAGCTCGCACACTACCGCTTGTGCATCTGACCAACCGCCCATCTAGCCAACCCGAGCCCCTCCACTGTCCACTCAGGTTGGGCGGGTCCGGGCCCGCCTGCCGTGGCAGCCCCATCAGGAACACTGGCATCTGTTTCCTTCAATTCTCGGGATTTGAAGATGGCTGGACAGTCAGCGCCGAAAGTGGTGGTGAAAAGCACCACCAAGATGTCTCTAAATGAGCGCTTTGCTAATATGCTGAGGAACAAACAGCTGACGCCAGCGACTATTCCAGCTTTGATGCAGGACCAACAGCAGCCAGCCAGTGCCAGAAACAGAAGACTGGCCCAGCAGAGGGAGACTAGACCCTCTGTCCAGTCAGCATTCAAACTTTAGCAGGCCGGACGCGGTGGCTCACATGTGTAATCCCAGCACTTTGGGAGGCCAAGGTGAGCGGATCACCTGAGGTCAGGAGTTTGAGACCAGCCTGACCACATGGAGAAACCCCATCTCTAGTAAAAATACAAAATTAGCCAGGCGTAGTGGCACATGCCTGTAATCCCAGCTACTCAAGAGGTTGAGGCAGGAGAATCGCTTGAACTCAGGAAGCCAAGGTTGCAGTGAGCCGAGATCGCGCCATGGCATACCAGCCTGGGTGACGAAAGTGAAATTCCATCTCAAAAAAAAAAAAAAAACAACAAAAAAAAAAAAAAAAAAAAAAAAAAAAAGTAAACTGAAAAGTGCTAGGTAAATGTATGGCTTTTTCTATTTCCTTTGCATTATAAAATTTCTCCCAAATGGAGGTGAGTAGCCTTTGTTATCATTTTACAGTTTACAAGACCTTGCACAAATAAGGTCTTTTTGAGTCTTCGCTATAATTCAAGAGCAAGGTAATTATTCCCTTTATTTTATATATCAGCATGTGGTAGGTTCAAGCTTATGAGACTGACTTACTATGGTTCATTCAGCTGGTTGTAGAAGAGGTCAGCTCTTCCACATGGAAATCCTGGGTCCTTTCTTTTACACTGTGTAGCATTTCAGGGTGCCAGGTAGGTACGATCATGCAGAGATGACACTCTGACCCATCTCAATAAGGAAAATGCCCACAACTTGATTTTTTGGGGACCTGGTCTAGCCAACCTAAGATCCCATTCAAGTATAATCTAATTCATTGGAGGTCTTGGGGTACCATGGAAAGAACCCTTTGCTGTTGAGTCCTTTGTGCTTTTGAAATTTATTTCCATTTTGGCTCATCATTTTATTTGCCTCAGGGCATAGCACAGTACCTGATGTTCCAAAAGATTTGAATGAAGAACTAATGAATACTCTGCATAGCTCATAGTGAATTACATTTCAATACAACTGTTGGAGGTGAAGGGGAGTGAGTAGGTAGGAATTTATTATTCTGCATGGAAGGACCACGAAAAAAACCATTATTTCAAGCAAGAAGACCAAAGTGGCCTCAATTTTCTCTTTGGCAAAATGAGAAAAAAAGAAATACAATGCTCAAGGTTGTCATAAAGATTCAATGACAATATATTGGAAAAATCTCTGTTTCACAATGGGCACACAACAAACGTTCACTGATACTAAATCAAATACTAATCCAGTACCTTGATGTCTCCTATGGAGACCAGTAGTTCTGGACACTCAGCATTCTAAAGTTCAGTGATGATCAATATCAAAAGGTTCTGATTAAATTTGCCAAACTTGACCTGCCTACCTAATTTTAAGAAAGAAACTATTGTTAATTTTATTTCGTGTTGTATATAAAATTGTGTTGTCTTGTAATTTCACGTCTTGGTTTGCACTCACACAAAGTAAGNACCAGCCTGGGTGACGAAAGTGAAATTCCATCTCAAAAAAAAAAAAAAAACAACTTAAGCAGAAGAGCTTAAAGCAGTCTGGGTAAGAGTAACAACCAGACATGGTTAGGCACAGGGGCCCTGGCCAGGGGAGCAGATGGAGGACAAGTCCTACCCATAATCCAGAGAGGCTTGCCCAGAGGAGGACTACGTGGGCGACAAGCCACCAGAACCCTGCTTAGAGGCGGGATGTCGCTCAGAGGTCAAAACCTGCTCTGAGGTGGACAAGCCATAGCTCCCTGAATGGGCTTAAGAAAAGGTGGTGGTCGAGGTTGTGGATGTCCTGGGAAAGGGAGCCTAGGGTGTGGAGCTATGGGTCATGGCAGAATCGGTGGTAGAGGTCCAGGTATGATAGGTCGGGAAAGAGGGGGCTTTGGAGGCTGAGGCCAAGGCTGTGGACGAGGAAGAGGTGCCCTTGCTCGCCCTGTATTGACCAAGGAGCAGCTGGACAACAACTTGGATGCATACGTGTTGAAAACAAAAGGACACCTGGATGCTGAGTTGGATGCCCAGATGGCGCAGACAGATTCTGAAGCCAATGAGTGAAGCCTGCCCACTGCTCACCCTCCTGTGAGAGACTCTTGTTGGTCAACACATCTGTAAATAACCTTGAGATAACAGACGAGAAATCTGATTGATGCTGGATGGACCCATCACAATAGGCTGTGGACTTACTTGCCACCAGCTTGTGCATTTAGTGTGTTCCTTTTACTTTTTGATACTGTGTTGTATGAAACCCTTTGTCCTTTGATTTAGTTTTAGTTTTTGGTTGTTTTTTTTGGGGGGGGGATTCCCCTCCTTTGCCCAGACTTCTCTTTGAACACAAATGTGTTAGCCTTGTGGCTAGAACTCCCTTTTCCTACCTCTGCCTTCCCTCACTCATCACAGGCTCTGACATGCTAACATTTCTTTTGTTGATCTCTGTTGCCCCCACAAAAAGGTCCCAGAAAAAAAACGGTCAGTGTTCATCCCTGATGCTTAGGTTTCTGACATAGCGTTCTGTTACATCCTCTTCAGCAGCCTCTTTAAAATGTTTAGAAAGTCTGGAGCTCAAAAATGCATTCTCCCACATTGGTAATTTAGTAAACTGAGAACACTGAATCATTCCAGGGCAGCATCAGAGGTTGACTGAAGTTGCTGCCATGTACATTGACACCACATGTCATAACCAGCGTGCTGGGTTGAACTGTACTTTCTACCCGTGTATAAGATTGACAAACTTTCCTCTTGGCTTTGTATCACGTCCAGAAGGGTACTATAAGGTTGGTTTATACCTGCAATATAGAGGAAGAAGCCATTTGATTTGGCAGGTGTGTGGGAAGGGAGAATGGTGGCAGGTGAAGGGCTGGAAGAGGTCAGAAGATACCCATGCTAAAATGCAGTTATCCTCATGTTTATCCCAAACCAATCTTGGACTTTTCCACTCATGAACTTTGTTTCTCCCTTATTTTCCTTGAAAGTTTAAGTTCAAGCATAGTCTGTCAACTGTTCCAGTTTCATTGGAATCTTATATTTCTTATAAATCTTGTATTTAAAATCTTATATTTAAAACAAAAGTTTGTTTTAAAAAATGAACCTGGAGAACTCTCATCTTCCTTTGGGTGCCCCGTCCCTCTGACCAGGTCCTCCATGCCCTTCCTCCCTCTCTGTTCTGTAGGTCACCAGCGATAGTGAACTGGAGTCCATGACCGACAAGCTGCTGGTGAGAGGGCACGCTTACTCAGTGACTGGCCTTCGGGATGTGAGTCCTGAGAACTGTGCCCTACCCTGAGGACCCTAAGAAGGAGGAGAACGTCCCCCTGGCCCCATAACTCTGACCTTTAACCCCCCCACACACCCAGGTCCACTACAGAGGCAAAATGGAAACACTGATTCGGGTCCGGAATCCCTGGGGCCGGATAGAGTGGAATGGAGCTTGGAGTGACAAGTAGGTGCCCCCAACCTAGGTGAGGAGTGGTCGGAGGATGCAGCAGGCAGTGCCAGGTGGACCCACTGGTGTCCCATTTGGGAGGACAACCTGTGTCCCAGGGCAAAGCCCCTCCCTCTAGATTCTCCATCTAGCTCCGCAACCCAGGGGGCAGACATTCAGGTAAGAGGGAGTCCCTTGGAGAGGAAGGAGGTGCCATGTGACCTCCTCCCCTCTCCTTCCACCACCATCTCTGCTCCAGTGCCAAAGAGTGGGAAGAGGTGGCCCCAGACATCCAGATGCAGCTGCTGCATAGGATGGAGGATGGAGAGTTCTGGTCAGTGTGGCTTGGGTTGGGCTTCCTACCACCACCCCAGGCCCTGGTCCTTCATCTCCCTGCTCCACTCCTCTCTGTCCTTTGGATGGGGAGGCTCCCGGTGGGGGTAGGGGTGGTTCAGGGAGAGGGACCCGAGGATGCAAGTGTGCTGTTGATGGGGTCCACCCCAACCCCACCGCAGGATGTCCTACCAAGATTTCCTGAATAACTTCACACTCCTGGAGATCTGCAACCTCACGCCTGATGCACTCTCTGGTGACAACAAGAGCTCCTGGCACACCATCTTCTACGAGGGCAGCTGGCGCAGGGGCAGCACCGCAGGGGGCTGCAGGAACCACCCCAGTGGGTGCCAGGGCTCAGGGGGAGGGGCATGTGCAGGGAGTGAAGGATGGGCTGCAGCTCACCATGAAACCAGACCTAGGGCACAAGTAATCCCGGTCGGGTCCATGGTCAGACTTCACACCCCCTGTGGAGGAGACAGATCCTGTGTGGCTGGAGAGGCTCAGTCCACCCAGGGAAGGGCGTGGCCAAGGAAAGTCCCCGTATAACCTTGCTGACCTGCTTCCGCCACAGACACGTTCTGGACCAACCCCCAGTTTAAGATCTCTCTCCCTGAGGGGGACGACCCAGAAGATGACGCAGAGGATGATGCAGTGGTCTGTACCTGCCTGGTGGCCCTGATGCAGAAGAACTGGCGGCATGCCCGGCAGCAGGGAGTCCAGCTGCAGACCATCGACTTTGTCCTCTACTCGGTGGGTGCCTGGCTGGTCCCCGAGGGCCACTCACACTCCCTCATCTGGCCTCACTCCTTTTTTTGTTGTTGTTTTTGGAGACAGAGTCTCACTCTGTTGCCCAGAGTAGTGGCACAATGGAGTATAGTGGCACAATCCCCATTCACTGCAACTTCTGCCTCCCCAGTTCAATCAATTCTCATGCCTCAGCTTTCCCCGTAGCTGGGGGCGCACATCACCATGCCCTGCTAATTTTTGAATTTTTAGTAGAGACAGGATTTCACCATGTTGGCTAGGCTGGTCTCGAACTCATGACTTCAGTTAATCTGCCTGTCTCCGCCTCCCAAAGTGCTGTAATTACAGGCATGAGCCACCACACCTGGCCTCCTGGCCTCACTCCTTTCTCCCCAGGGCCACTTCCTGCCTGGGAGAGGTACAGGCTCCAATAGGCTTCACAGCCCTGATTTTTTTTTTTAAGACAGAGTCTCACTCTGCTGCCCAGGTTGGACTGCAGAGGCGCGATCACGGCTCACTGCAGCCCTGATCTCCCAGGCTCAAGCAGTCCTCCCACCTCAGCTTCCTGAGTAGCTAGGATTACAGGCAGTTGCCCTGCTAGTTTTTGTTTGTTGGTTTGTTTTAGTAGAGACAGGGTCTCACTGTGTTGCCCAGACTGAGCCCTAACTCTCGAATGGTGCTTTGTGCTCTTCAAGGCAGAGCCGGCAGCTTCCTCTTCACAAGTTTTATCCTTTGCCAGGCATCGTTCCAAAGGCCTTAGGAATACGAACTGCTAACGCCTTTAAGGAAGCGGAAAGAGCCCACCCGCGTACCAGAGACGTGAAGCCACTTGCCCAAGCTCACACATCCAAGGGTCAAGGCGAAGCCTGTGCCCTGATTCCCAGCGCTCTGAAAGTTCCCCACACCCCCACCCCCGCAATCATCCATCCCTCTTGCCTGCCCCACCAGCAGCACTCACTCCAGGAACCAAGAGAAAGCCCTGATAAGCATTTCCCAAGCAAACCATGCTTTGCAAAATTCTCCAAATGGCCAGTTGTTCATTCACTTGCATTCCCTTATATAAACAAGTATTTATGGAGCATCTGCTGTATGCCAGACCCGTGTCCAGTCTCCAGAGGTTCAATAGTGAGCAAAACAGACACAACCCTTGCCCTTCTCCTGGGGCCATTAGTCCACGAGGTTGACAGACTTGTGCCTCCGGATGATATTTTTGCTGGGGGAGGTGGCTCATGCCTCTTAGGTCAGCACTTTGGGAGGCTGAGGTGGGAGGATCACTTGGAGGATGCACAAGGAATTTAACACCAGCCTGGGCAACACAGCAAGACACTGTCTCAACAACAACAACAAAATTAGCAGGGCATAGTTGCCCACACCTGTGGTCCCAGATACTCGGGAAGCTGGAGTGAGAGGATCAGTTGAGCCTGGGAAGTCGAAGCTGCCGTGAACCATGATTGTACCTCTGCCCTTCAGCCTGGGCGCAGAGTGAGACCCTGTCAAAAAAAAAAAAAAAAAAAAAAGACATCTTCAAAATTAAATAAGCTCAGGAAAGGCTCGACTCCAGCCTGAGCTCTCCAGTGCACGCAGCACATGGGAGGTGCTGCTGAGCTACCTCTGCAATAGAGCAACCTGTTTAATTGGGTTTAACTCACATTTTTGCAAACTTACTTGTCCTCGATCCTCAATTTTAGTCATCTTCTAGTCACTTCCTGCAGGATATGACTGTTCCATGGAAAAGCAAAACACTCTCCTAGATTTTTAGCCCAGTTCTTTCACTTTTCAGCCGTCTGAGGTTAGAGAAATCACCTCACATCTTTGGGATTCTGTTTCCGTTGCTTAACCTGGAATGATAAAAATCTACCTTGTATAAACTGTACTTTGCTATCCAAAGCTGAGGGCTTTTTATTTTTTTATTTTTTTTTTGAGATGGAGTCTCACTCTGTCGCCCAGGCTGGAGTGCAGTGATTCAATCCCGGTTCACTGCAACCTTTGCCCCCTGGGTTCAAGCAATTCTCTGCCTCAGCCTCCTGAGTAGCTGGGATTTTAGGCACCCGCCACCACGCCCGGATAATTTTTGGTTTTGTTTTGTTTTGAGACAGTTTTGCTCTTGTTGCCCAGGCTGAAGTACAATGGCACCATCTCGGTTCACTGCAACCTCTGCCTCCTGGGTTCAAGCGATTCTCCTGCCTCAGCCTCCCGAGTAGCTGGGATTACAGGCATGTACCACCATGCCCCGCTAATTTTGTATTTTTAGTAGAGATGGGGTTTCTCCGTGTTGGTCAGGCTGGTATCGAACTCCTGACCTGTCTTGGCCTCCCAAAGTGCTGGGATTATAGGCATGAGCCACTGCATCCAGTAATTTTTGTGTTTTTTAGTAGAGATGGGGTTTCACCATCTTGGCCAGGCTGGTCTTGAACTCCTGACCTCATGATCCACCTGACTCGGCCTCCAAAAGTGCTGGGATTACAAGCGTGAGCCACCATTCCTGGCCTCTTTTTTTTTTTTTTTTTTTTTTTTGAGACAGGGTTTCACTCTGTTGCCCAGGCTGGAGGGCAGTGACATGATCAAAAATCACTGCAGCTTTGACCTCCAGCTCAAGCAATCCTCCCACCTCCACAGAGAGGGACTGTTAATGCCAGGACCTTTGAACTGTCAGAGCCCATGCCCCACCCCGCCACCAGTGTCCTAGTGCCCTTAATACCCCTCCAGCAACACACGCGCGCACACACACACACACACACACACACACACAGAGATGCACACTATACACATCCCACTTGGCTTCCAAAGGCCTGAGCCCCTACACCACCCTAGAGAACTGACACTCCTCTTCCTTTCCCTTCCCAGGTCCCAAAGGAGGTACAGAAGATAAAGACGTGGGGCTTGTTCCTGGACACACCCCCCACCCCCTGGCTGCAAATGGATTGGCAAGGGGTGGAATTTGGCGAGAGGCTTTGGGGGTCACTGGGTTAGGATTCCAGGCCCCTTGGGGCCTGTTAGGGCTGGGGAAAGGAATGACCCTGTTGGAGTTACAGGCCACTTGGGTGGTGCCCAGGCTAGGTCAGTTGCTGGTGGCACCTACCCCCAACCCTGCCTGGCCAGGCTGTTCACCTT